CGTCGTCGTCCGACATGAGCGGCGGCGGCTGCGACATTCGCTGGCGCTGCGTGGGCATGTCGTCGCCAGAGTACTCCTCGTCCGAGTCCATTGACTGGCGGCGTACGATGCGCTTCCGCTTCCCGCTGCTTACCTAGTACATGGCATGAGCCCCATCGCGGCCAGCGCATCCTGGTCTACCATGGCGCGAGGTCGGCCAAAGATGAAAATGGTATCGGTTTCCGCAGGCAACAGCAACCCGCAAGAACGAATGATTTGAATTTTAAATCTTGACACTACATATATCGAGTCAACATTAACACACGAGAATTAAATAACCTTGCCGGTTTCCCGCCGCTTTCAAGCGCCGAGAACCGGCCTAGAGGACGCGAGCTGCCATGGATCCCGCCAGGACCGGTACACGAGAAGGACGCAGATGCTGGCGCTCGCTACCTAGCCCATGCGGCCATGGCGGACAAGATGACAAGATGCGCCCGGTAGTACCGCTGCCCGTACGGCAGGCGGCAGCAAGGCGAGTACCGGTACTAGTACAAGGTACGACGACAGCACCGTGCATGTCCATCACTTGTGCTCCAGCTTGTGCAGAGCTCATACGATCCTGGCAGCGACTGTGGCTTGGTTGAGCGCGGCCAGATCATTGCGCAGCCCCAACTGCCGACTCTGCTCGTAACACTTGTCCGAAAGGAGCTCTGTGCCACCCCATCGACATCGCAATCAACGCCTGGCGGCGACCGAGGGCGCTGCCCCATCGTCGACCATGGACGGCAACGTTCTTTTCGACGGGCGATCTGACACGAACCAGGCCAAGTACGGATGTGGGCGCCTGCCGAGCCGGTTAATCACAGAACCCAACTTGCCGCATCATGGGCGAGATCCACCGCTGTGTGCAGTGCGATGTCGACTATGACGTCGACACAAACGTCCAAGGCGCGTGCAGCTACCACCCGGTGAGCGACTACATCTATGGGTCGTGGGACTGCGTCCTCTCTTGCTGCGGTACCAAAGTCTCTTCGTACGACCCGTTCCCGGCACGCGGCTGCGCCAAGGCCACGCACGCCGCTGTGCACCACGACACGTTCCCGTACCTCAACCGCATCGGACAGTTCCGCGCCATGCTGCGCGACCATGACGAATGGATGCGCGTCGAGCAGGACGACTACACGGTCGCCGCGGACGGCAGCGACATTGCGTGTCGCGTCTCGGGCCACGTCGGGCGCCTCCGCGACGGCGAGACCGTCGCATTGTGGGCCAAGCAAGGCGGCATCACTGTCGCGCTCCATACGCTCTCGCCGTCCGAGCTCACGGCGGCGACGCCACCGCCGGCATGGACCGTCTCGGAAGCGACGACGCGCGTCAACGACGTCTGGAACAAGACCGTCGTTCGCTTGGGCCAAACGTGGCGCGTGGAAGCCGCGTGGATTGCATGGGACATGACCGCACGGACGCTTCAAGTGCGCGTCAAGGCGCCCACCAGCAGCGCGCCGAACGTCTCGGTACGGCCAGCTTCCCCGCCTTGTCTTTGATGTGCATGCGACGTAGCAAGTGTCCTTTTGCGTCGAGAATTGGGCGGTCCACAGCGTCGCGACGGTTGTCGACGACGCCACCAACCTCGATGACGTGGCACCTCGTGCGCCGTCTTCGCGTGCGTGTTCGCCCCGTCTCGCGTTTGAAGCGATCCCAGAAGCCTTCTTCCACCGTACACGTCCAGTACACTGTCAACGGCGGTGACATATCGTGCGTAGAAAACCGGTCGGCGCTTCCCGTGTTTGCGTCGTATGGTGCGCTGCCGCTGCGTCTCAAACTCTCCAAGCCCCTCGTTGCCAACGAGTCGCGCTACCACACAGCGTACACGGGAGCGAAGCGAGGGCGCTCTCAATGTGTCGCGCGTAGGGCGGACCTCTTTGAAGCCGAGTTTCTCGTCGTGAGTCTCTTGGAGCACGACGCCATCGCGACGACGTCGACGCTCTCAGCAGAGCGCAAGCACATACTCGAGATGGTCCACGACCGAACGATCAGCGTTGACGAGGCCGAGAGGCTCTTGATCGCGACAGCCAAGACTGCGCCGCTGGCCGCGGCACCCGATGGCAGCATCACGCTCGTCGACGCCGCGTGCGACCTCAGTGTCGACGACGGCGCGACCTGGACCAGCGCAAGCCACGTGACGTGGGACGATTCGGACGCGCTTTTGCTCAAGGTGCTGCGCGGTGACGTGCTTCGGTGCAAGGCCTCGGCCCTCTTTCCCGCTCCGACCAAGCAGGGCCAGTGGCGCAACCAGTGCGATGTTGACCTCCAAAGGCACCTGCCATTCTCATGCGTTCGTAGATCGTTCTTGACGCGCCGCATGAGCGCACCGGCGCGCCTGCGCTGGACGGTTGAGAGCGCGTTTGGCGACACGTGCACGCTCGAGACGTCGTTTCGGAACCCACCGCTGGCGCCGCTGCCGACCAAGCACATTGCTGATGACTACTTTTTTGCGCATCTCGATGCGATCGACCAAGGGTTTGAGCGCCGCTTTGTGCGCGTACGATCGTGTGTTTTGTAGCAAGTGGATGGATGGATATGTACATGGTACTAGATTCAACGGCCCACTAAAGACGACGAGAGAAGCTCCCCCCGTGTGGTCTGGAAGATTGTCTCGGCGACCATGTGCACGACGACGCACTCGGTGACGACGCGAACGCTGCGCACGTGGCGCCGCGAGCTCGCCCCTGGACAGACGGAGCTGCCACTGACGAGCGTGAGCGAGCCAGGCAGCGTCGAGTGGACGGGTCTCTTTGACGCTGACGCGCGTTTGGTCGCGCTCCGCGTCAAGCTGCTCTTCGACGACGCGGTCGCAGAACACACGTGGGACGTGCCGTGGACGCAAGTCGCAGCGTCGTTGGTCGAGGCGGCCGCTTGAGACGGCGGTGGTTGCAGCCTCGATTCGAAAGCGATGCAGCAACCGGTGCATATTATGTATAACAATGTAGCGATCTCTGCACTTTCTTTCAGCGACGACGGCCGTTGGCGTGGGTCCCAAATAGCCTCTCGTGCGCACAGCAGCCGTTGCACAACAACGTCTAGCAACGGCGTCACTGACTGTTGATGATTGTCCGTGTAGAGATATGCTTACTTGCTGCAAGTACACCTACGACGCAACGCAACCTCATCCTACCGACAGCTGCTCCTTGGTTTGCGGCACCCGACGCGCGCCAACGTCAACACGTTCGGTCGCGTTCCAGTGCGTGTTGCACTTGAAGTGGTAGTGTCGATACCTTTGGTTTCAGCTGCTTCGAGGCACCGCTCCTTTCTGCACGGCAGAGCCTGCCTTGATATGGTCTCGGCTTGAATGGCCTCGCGACCGTCCGTTTGGGTCGTCGTCGTGCGGTCGCCATGGCTCGTCCGTTTCATACTGCAGCTTGAGGACTGGAAAGTGCAATCTCGTGAGCCAAGTGCAAAGTGCACTTTGACGCTGGCTTTTTCTGAGCTCTTGACAGTCGTCACCACGTATTGTTGTGAGATGCAGAGAATCAAACGGTGGGGATCCCTCTTCCCTCTTCCCGCTCTCGCGTAAGCTTGGGGGATTTTGCTCCGTGGGGCGCTCCCAAGCCAGACGAGAAGTCACCTCCTCCTACGACGAGGTCCATGGGCGACGTAGCACATTTATTGCACTGTCTTTGACGGCGAGTCTCTGAACTTGAATTGAAGCGGTGGCGTCGACTGCTTCACGACGCAAGCGCCACCGAGCCACAGTAGGACGTGGCCGAGATGATGGGACAGTGGCCAGCACCCGAACGTCGACGGATGTTCTATTGGGTGCAGGTCCGACTCGAGCGCATTTTGTCACTGGCAGCATGGCGCACACGTTGGGCTTTGCGGGCAAAGCGAGCATCCACGTGCAGCTCGAGACGCCGACGTGCGCGGCGACCGAGCTGCTCATTGGCACCGTGCGCGTGCGTGTGACCCAGCCCGTCGCATGCAGCGGTACTAGACAGCATCGTCGCGCGTGGCTAAAGGCGTCTTGTAGAGATTGTCGTCATCGTTGCAGGCAACGAGCGCGTTGCGTGGACCGAGGCATGGACCGAGAAGGAAGCGGAGGGGCACACCGAGACGATCTTTGACGGCCGCGAGTTCTTTCGACAAAAGGTGCGACGTGTGGCGTGCTTACGCCTTTCCATGGACCGCCTCGTAGATTGTGCTCTGCAGTGTTGAGAGCGAGCTGACGCCGGGCCACTACACCTACCCGTTCCAGTACCGAATGCCCGCCGGCCTTCCGGGCAGCTACGACAATGA